GAAACGGTGCTTGTCACTCCCTGGTGCCAAAATCCAAGTCGAGCAGCCACCGGATGGTCCTCCAGCACCATCAAGGCCCTGACCCCACATACAGTCCAGTCAGCAGAGGGCAGACAAAGGCCCAGGGCACAGTGTTTTGCAGCGGGAGGCTTGGCCGATGCATTCTGCTCACTCCCATCCCACAGGGGTGGCAGTCTGCGTTTGCTTTGACTTTAAACGGGACCCAGTACCTGTTTACCAGACTGCACGAAGGTGGTCTCAGTAGGCTGGCCAGCCCCTGCCTGTAACGCGCGCCCAGGACCCCCTGTGATTCAGTGTAAACCCCTGTACCGTGTGGCATGACAGCATTTTGCTCAGAAGCCCCTAGAAGAAGGAAGTAAAAACCACGCTGGTCGCTTTAGTGGCTTCCTCCAAGCCCATGGCTGGGCCACAACCCACACACGGTGGGTTCACAGTATTAAATCCTTACAGCAGTAAAGATTCGAGGGATCACCTGGCCCTCATGAGCCAGCACATTCCCCTTGCAGTTAAAACCCGAGTCTTCACCATTCGTGTGCCAGCCACTTTGTGGCAGGCCCTGTGCCTACTGGGACATTCTGCTGTGGCGGCACCTGCACCCCACTTGTCTGTTCTGCTGAGGCCCACAGCTGCCCCCACCCAGAAGCCCTCCACACCTTACTGGGGCCACAGGAGAATACAGCATGCAGCTGGCCCAGCAGGTAGTCTCCCAGGCAGTGCCCAGATCCCGCGTTCTGAGTTTCATATGGAAACTCACTACCACCAATCACAACTCCCAGAGCCTCTGGACAAAGCACACCCATCCTGGCTATCGGCTTCTGCAGCCAAAAACTTCCTGGCCACTGCAGCTCATTACGCCCACTTAAAAGGGTGGCTACCACTGCACACAATGCCTGTATAGACACGGGCACTACGGGGCATGCTCTAGTGCTGCTGTGCCCCCAGATTCCAGCCATGCTGCATGTCTGATTCCTCCTGACAGAGGCTCAGCCGCTAATGTGTCCCTAAGAACATGGGAACAGCACCCGCAGGACAGGCCAGACCTGGCACATGGGTCCTTGGGAGGGGGCAGGAAGCTGAGGCCATGTTCCTGTTCCTCAGCCCCTGCAGATAAGCAGAGAGAAACCAGCAGCAGCGACCCTGTTGCCCCAACGATCGGTGACCTGATGAGGCCCTGGGAAGAGCGGGACATGGGGAGTCCCCATCCCTCAGGGAGGGCAGCGCTGCCCTGCAGGCTGGGAGCCCACTGGCCAGCAACCACCTCCCACATTTATCACAGCAGGGCCCACATAACAGGTAGGCGGGCTGAGCCCAGCCATAGAGCAGGTGGTGCCAGTGTGGGGGAGGTTGCTGTGACCATAACCCCACCCAGGGTCGTGTTTCTGCAGATTCCTGGGCTGTGCCCAGTGTATTGGGAGCACCCTGGGGCCACGCCTGTAGGGCTCTTACAATTCTGGAACGGCCTCTGCGGGGTGCACCTGTTTGGTCAAATTAGGGAGGCTCCAATCCTCCTACAGGTGATTCATGCCTCATGCATTCAGAACAAACATGCCCAGGCTCTTTTCCACCACCCGAAGCAGGAGGCAGCCACAGGGAGACTACGCCCATCTCTGGCCTCCACACTGAGCCGGCTGAGAGCCCCTGATGTCCCGTTCCCAGGAGGTTAGGGTCAGACACACCTCCCAGGGCCTGGGTGAGATGCTCTTTTTTAATAGACTCCAGGTCCTCAAGTTCCGTATTCCTCAGGTGCTGACAGAGTGGAGTCACCCAGCCTCAGGTCATGAGAGCTACAGCCACATTAGAGGGCACCTCACGCCACAGGTGCCTCCCACCGTAGCTCCAGGCAAGCAAAACTACGACCAGCACTCCCTTATTCCTGGGCCATTGCCCAGGTAGCAAATTGGCTTCACTAGGCCTCTCCCATAACAGCCAGCACCTTCCACTGTGCATGACCTTCCCATGTGTCAGTGACTGCTCCACCTGTACACCGGGCTCTGTGACCTCACCGTAGGTATCTATTCCCTCAGGAGTGACTGCATTCTTTTCTCATTTCCAGAAACCTCATCCCATTTGCCTCACTATGAGGAGAAAGAGGAGGAGGAGGAGGAGGAGGAGGAGGAGGAGGGTGGAGGGTGGAGGAGGAGAAAGGAGGGAGGAGGGAGGAGGGAGGAGGGTGGAGGGTGGAGGAGGAGGAGGAGGGTGGAGGAGGAGGGAGGAGGATGGAGGGTGCAGGGTGGAGGGTGGAGGAAGGTGGAGAAGGAAGGAGGGAGGAGGGTGGAGGGTGGAGGAGGAGGAGGAGGAGGGAGGAGGAGGAGGGAGGAGGAGGGTGGAGAAGGAAGGAGGGAGGAGGGAGGAGGGTGGAGGGTGGAGGGTGGTGCCTTTTAAAATGTGCACTAGTCTCCCAAGGACCCCCCTACAAATAACTCGGGAGGAAGCACACGAGGGAAAGCTCATGCATTCCAAGCACCCAAAGGCCGTCCTCCTAACTGTGTGTAGGGAGATTCATGGCCTCTGGAATTTGTGAATAAGGTATTTGCGTACACAGCACAAACTAACGCAGGCTAACACCAAGCTCCCTGCCACACTGGCCACCTTCCTGAGGGACTTCTGAGAGACATTAGGTCTCACGCAATAATTTGATGAGTCCTTGGCGCAGGTGGCCTTGAACCATCTCATGCCAAGCGAAAAGGTGATAGTCCCCTCTAGGGAACCCCATGCTCTATACACAACCTTTACTCAGGAGCCTCCAACCTGCCCTACCTAGCAACGCAACCCCAGGCGGTATTCTGTCTCACCCAGGTATTCTCCAGTATTTCTCCAGTATTCTCTGAAGGGCTTGGATTTGATTTTATGATTAAACCACATGGCTTGGGGATGTTGGTTCAGACCAGAATCTAACTCCACCTCTGTGAGTGGGTGTTCTCACCCTAGTCTCCTCTCCACAGTGTGTGGGTGGTATTCTCACCCTAGTCCCCTCCCCCCTGCGAGTGGGTGGTGTTCTCACCCTAGTCTCCTCTCCACAGTGTGTGGGTGGTATTCTCACCCTAGTCCCCTCCCCCCATGTGTGGGTAGCGTTCTCACCCTTGTCCCCTCCCACGTGTGTGGGTGGTATTCTCACCCTAGTCCCCTCCCGCCGTGTGTGGGTGGTATTCTCACCCTAGTCCCCTCCCCCATGTGTGGGTGGCGTTCTCACCCTAGTCCCCTCCCCCCTGCGAGTGGGTGGTGTTCTCACCCTAGTCTCCTGTCCCCTGTGAGTGGGTGGCATTCTCACCCTAGTCCCCTCACAAGGTATATATAACAATATGCAGGCCGGGCTTTCCTGGTGGCTTTAAATATTCCCTTGGTCCAAGTAGTTCGTCCTCAGCCACCAGCATGGGCATCACGGGGGCAATTGTCTTAGGAGTCATGGAGAATCCATAGTTGGTTGTGGCCTCCGCCTGGCCAGGGCTGACCAAAGCAGATGTGGGGTTGGTCCCTCTGAGGACTCCTGTTTGGATTCAAGCTTTCCGCCAAATTTCTCAACTGCCCTTGTTAACAGTTATTGAAAGTGCCCAATAGAAAGTAACCCTGAAAAATTAAGACACCTCATCCCAAAAGACCCTTAAATAGGGAAGTCCTCTCCTGCATGTGCAATGCTGCTCTTGCTACATGAGACCCGGGACAGAGGACTGCTGTCTGCCCTCTGTGGTTGCCCTGCCTGGCTTGAGGATCCGTAAGTAACACAAAATTTAAACTTTCACATTGAGGTTTCAACATTGAAGCTGTGCCCCCAGTCTGACCTCTGACTGTGGGGCCACCCCAGAGGGACCCAGCAGGTGAATTCCCTGCTGTGAACTTCTGTCTGGGCCTCTGAAGGCTTCTGGGGGCCGTGGCTCCCAGCTAAGGTAACAGAGAAACTCAAAAAGTTTCCTTCCAAACACACGTGACCTACTTGACATGTCCAGTAGGGACGGTCATAGCTCTTTAGAACATTCTTTTATTTTGAGAGAAGCCTTTACAGGTCCTCAGCCTGTTTTTCAATCATGTTGTTGACTTTTTGCTATTGAGTTGACTTCCTTATGTATTCGGATATTTACCCCTTCTACCGCATAGGGTCTGCAAATATTTTCTCACATCTTCTGGGTTGCCTTTCACGCTGTTGGTTGATGCAGGTACTTTAGCGTTCAGTGCAGCCTGGCTTGTCTATTTTCCCTTTTATTTATTGCCTGCGCATGCGGTGTCAAAGCCTTATCTTCGTATGCTCTGCTAGCAGTTTTATGGTTTCAGGTCTATGTTTAGTCTTCAGTCCACGTTGAGCTGATTTTTCTACATGGTCTGAGGGAAAGAACCACATGTGTGCACATGGCAAGTCATGAGCCTTACACAACTCTTTCTCCGTCTCACTGAGCTCATTTCACCTGTTGCCTGATAAGGTCATTGTTCTCTTCACCCTGGGCCCTACAGGAGACTGCTCACTCCATAACCTCAGTCGCCCCTTCAGGACGGTATAATGACCTTGAAGTCTGCAATGAGTGACTCTCTGCCCCCCTGCAATTCAGGTCTGGCACCGGTGTTTAGACCTCAAGAGAATAGTAGGGCCTATCACCAGGAAATAAGAGTCATTTGCTCTCTTAAATTATCAAACGGAAGCACTGTTTCCATTCTTTTTTGAATGTTAAATATTTAACCAGGAAATACTAGATATTTCTGAGAAAAAGGAAAAATATGCCAGGGTCCTCATCATCACCATCAGCTTCAATCTGGTGCAGACACTAAACGTAGAGCTTCGTGTGAAGAAAGCTGGGAGAGCAGAGGAGCCCTGGAGGGATGTTAGGCCAATAGGAGCCCCGCACCCTCTCTACCGAAATGTACACCTCTTCTCACTCAGGATGCCCAGGTTTCTTGTCTCTGAGCCTTCTCTCTGCAGAGCTATAGACCCTGACTGGCTTCTCCCTCCCCACACAATCTGCTCCTGCTCTTCCCTCCTCCAGGTTGCCCCAGTCATGAGGACCCTCGCCCTCCTCACTACCCTTCTCCTGGTGGCCCTCCAGGCCCAGGCAGGGCCACTCCAGGCAAGATGTGATGAGGCTGCAGGCCAGGAGCAGCGTGGGGTCGACAACCAGGACGTATCTATTTCCTTTGCATGGGACAAAATCTCCGCTCTTCAGGTTTCAGGTGAGAGAAGCCAGCACGAAGAGCCACAGAGTCTAGAGGGATGGATGGGAGACAGGCTCTGGAATCAAGTCTCAATGGTGGATGTCACTTAGGTGGCTTTACTTAGCAGCTCTGGGCCTTGATTTTCTTATCTCCAAACTGAATAGAGAGTCAAACAAATCTAAGTAGTTTTCTTTCTCCAAAGAGTTGATTCCAAGATATGTCTATAAAATTCACCGGGGTTAAGATATGGAGAGACAGACTGACTCATTCTTTCTGGATCTAAACAAGTAGATATTACAGGGAGACTATGTCATTCTGCCTGTAGAGAACATGTTAAAAACTGGAGATGAGCTTAAGAGTGTGTTCAGGCGTGTGTGCTGGGGCAGAAGCACAGAAATGAGAGCAATGGAGGACGAGTCACGAATCCTGTATGACCAGCACTGCTCTGTGTATTTATTCCTATTGGCTGAGGTTGTTCGTGCTACCTGCTGTAATGCAGCCAACATCCCCCCTCAGCCAGCATGTGACTTCCCAAGATTCCCTTTATCACCCACTGCTGACCGTGGTGCTCAGCTTCGGATGCTCTGTCTGTGTCCCCAGGCTCAACGAGGGGCTTGGCTTGCACTTGCAGATTAGTGTACTGCCAGCCAGCAGAACATAGTGTTGGGAGCTGCATCATCGGCGGTATGGGCTTCACATACTGCTGCTCGCTTGAAGATTAATATTCTGCTGTCCAAGAAAATGCCATGCGTCATCGGTGGTATGAGCTTCACATTCTTCTGCAGCTGAGATTGCAGAATAAGCCCATCAATTGCCTTGAGAGCTACAGGAAATGTTTTTTTCTCCTATACTGTTTTCTCCTTAACATCTTTCTTGATCCTAAATAAATGCCTTGTAACAAAATGTCTTTGTTTACACCTCTTTAAAGTTTGATACGCGTCTGTGTCAAGACACTGGAAAGCACCTGCCAGAATCCCGTATCAAGATTTTTGAACAAATTGAAGTTTCAAATTCTAGACGTTTTAAGGAGGAGCCATGACTTCAGACACAAATCGAAATGAAGGCACAAATGATGCCACTGATCTCACCATCCACTGCTCTGTCTTTTCACTCTGCCTCATTTTGAACAGATTCACTCCCAAAGGCAACTCTCATACACTAGGCAAAAGAATCAGGTTAGCTACTTACAAACATCACTACTTCTTGGGGAAAACCACCATCCTCTGTGTCAAAATATTGAAGTTGTATTGAACGTGCCCAGGTCACCCATTTGCCTTTTAAGACATAGGGTTACATGAGATCCATTGAAACAACTTTAATTAAGAAGGGAATTGGTTGTTAGCAAAGGCGGGATGCGTGCAACGGAAAACACAGCAGCCCACACTGGGATGTCCTCATTAAACACACCTCCAGCCACATCTACTAAGACCTGGATTCCACACCCATAAAGTCGTCTTCACTCCCAGAAAACGCACAGGCACAAATGCTCCACGCACTTTGCAGCCTGCACTCTCCTGGCTTGACTTAAAGCCGCTGAGAACCTGAATCTGCTTAGAGAATACAGCTTCAAAGGGGTAATGGGAAAAAGGAAGAGAGAAAAAACATTTCACCAGAAACCTTCAGTTTCTGTTGCTGCTGCAGGGCGCTGAGTCTCTGATACCCCAAAACATTCTGCGCATCAGTGGGTGAGCAGGAAACCAGGTCTGGGGAAAGGGAATGAACCAGGAGCGCCCTCTGAGATGCTCAGAGCATTTGCCCGGAAGGCCACAGCGCCCCCTGCTGTCCCGCCTCCACCTGCAGCCTCCCCACCAGGCACAGCACACCTGGGGTCTGCACCTTCCTGGGCCTGTCTTCCTCCTCCTCTGCAACAGGACAGGGTCACTGCCTATCCCCAGTGTCCCTGAGGGCCAGGCTGGCATCTTGCTGGGGTGAGATGTGACCCTTCCTCCTGTCTCTCCTCTCTGTCCATCCCCTGGAAACCCACTGTACCTTTAGCAATAGTTGAGGCTGGCTTGCCAATGGCCTATGAGGACATAGCCGCACAGCCCCAGGGACAAGTCCAGCTTGAGCCACAGATTTCTTATATTTTGGATCCAGCAGTTACAGTTTGTGCATCCACTACACATGCTGGAAAAAATAACTCGTCTGTTCAAACCATAGCTCGTCTTATCTGGAGGGTCATTCACAGAATGCCCCCAAGACTTCCAAGAGTGACAGAGAAACCACAGTTTGCAAAGAAAGCAACAGTGATTCTAGTAGGATTTTCCCCATTCTTCATTAAAACAGTCTGATGGACGGAGACACAGGTGTGACCACCAACACCAACCACAATACCCAGAGCCCAGGAGAAGGAAGCAGGTGTTCCCAGGCAGATGCTGAGGAGGCTTCAGTGCCAGACTGAGGCTCTTCCAGCCTAAAGAGGCAGCTCAGGGGTCCAGGCACCCCACTGAGACACCACACAGCTGGGGAACCCAATAGAGGTCCCAGGGAGGACATAGTGGGTCTGTGATTGACGAAGAAATGGCCCAAGCTCTTCCCCTTGCACAGAAGGTGAAGGTGATATTTGGGGTTTCAGGATGTGAAGGGCAGACAGTCTTCCTTCAGTTCCTGTAACTGCCACTGACTTGCAGTCATGTGGTCCTTGCTGTAACCCTGCATATTGCTTCTAACTGTCCACTGGGCCGGGCTGACTCCATCACATGGCTTCTGCACTTTGCCCAGAACTCCATCTGCCTTGCACCCCAGGTCCTGGGGTCTCTGCTAGAACTTCCCTTTGTCACTGAGAGCTTTCCTGATTTCTTAATTTTAAATTGCAACTAGTTCCCCCTGGAAACCTCTCTCCCCATCTTCTTTTTATTGTTAACTGTAGAATTTTAAGCTACCTCACATTCTGTGCATTTCACTTACTCTCTGGAGCATTTGCCTCAAAACAGTGGGAGGGAAGCTGTGTGTTCTATGCACCATCATCCCCCAGTGCATAGATGACTGTCTAATACATGGCGCAAGATCAAGAAATTAATTCCAACTAAATTAATTTTACTTAAAATTTATATTGGTACAAAATTGCATTGTTGTTCCTAAATAGCTTACAAAAAAGTACTGAAACCTACAGAGGTAAAGCAGTCCATGTGTCTAGTTCACGTGACAGCATTCCTTAAAAAAACTAATTAAAAAGACTAAAATATAGGAGCTATGATGGGGAACATGTGGCGTCATGAAGCATTAGGACTTTTGAAAGACAGAAAAGGCCATTCTGTCTTGGAGTGCCAAGGACAGATTTCATGGTGAATCTTAAACTGAAGCATAAAGATGTTTAAATTTTCAATAAATTAAAGGAAAGGTTAGGCAGAACATTAGGTAGTGAACAGAGAATCAGGGCAAGGGCTATGCAAGAGGCGGCCAACCTCCACTGAATTAAGAGGAACTGCTGTTGCAGCAGAGAAGGATGGAGTAGAATTCGGGCCTTATTTGTTGAGAAGCATCTCTCAACTCAAGGGAAAGGGGCAGAGGAAGACGGGAGCCTCTCTGCTCCACTGTGTGCATAAAGGCACACTGGGACCACCACGTGTGGCTCCTGCTACTGCAGTCTAGGGTGGGCGATGACAGCTACAAACTCTACGGACAGAGAATTCAGGGAGAGGTGCGAGGGTTTCCAAACAACCCGGGCAACTTGCTCAGCCTCAAGTGAGACCCAGAACTGTTCCCTGGGAAGCACTCTCTGTATACTGGTGACGCACAGGACATTTTCTCCTTTGAATAACTACAGTGGTAGAACAGCAAGGAGTAAGTCAGAGGCCTCATCCCCATAAACGTAATTACCCAAGGGGATGGCAGCCTTGTCTCTGTGGCAGGATAGGAGTCTATCCGTCTATCCCCTAACAAATTAGCAAACACAGCTGGCCCAATCACACTGCTCAACTTCCCCACCAGCAACCGCCAGAACCTTTCCACTAGCTTCACCCAGGGCCTCTGTATTCCTGCCTTGGGCTTCGGGACAGAGGAGTCCAACGGCTCGCCCATTGCAACGTTTTGACGCCTATTTCAACAGTCTTCAGTAAATACTTCCTTGACATTTCTTAAAAGCCCTGTGATTTCCTTTTAATACAAGACATTGGTGTTTTTTTGTTTGTTTGTCTTGTTTTTTGTCTTTTCGGTTTCTCTGTTTGAGATCCTGAACTCCTCTTCCAAGCAGAACCAGAATGTAAGAACCCAGATAACTACTAGTTCTCTTTTCTAAACCTCTGTATTTTTTCCCTTTGCTGCTCAAAGCCACTCAACTGATTAAGAAACTTAAGATTATGGGAAACGGTCTTTCACTCTAATGTTACCTGGCAGGTCACTCTCCCAACCTCTCAGTGCTTTGTCCTCCTGGATGACAGTGACCCTACCCCCTCTTGGCCTCCGCCCTCCACCCCAGCGCCACCCACTACCTCCTGCCAGCACCTGGAACTCCTCCAGCTCTGAACATCAGCCATGAAGCTTCCCGTCACGACCTCACCCGCTGTCCTTTCGGCGTCTCATGTAGCCATCCTCCTCCCCTGCTGATCAGCATCAATAAGGCTGTCTCCCCGGGGCTGTGCGTGGGAACCAGCAGGGAGCCCGATGCCCAGGCTGCACGCGGGACCCCTGTCCTCGGCTCTCATCTCTTGTCCTTGTGCCCCGCACTGTCTTTGCCTCACTTTCTTCCAGTTTATTTTTGATCTTTTTCAGACATGCTAGTGGAGTCTTGGAGTAAAGCATTAGACATCATGTCAAGCTGAGTCAACCTTTTTTTTTTAGAGGGCAGGGGTCTTGCTATGTTGCCCAAGCTGCTCTCAAGCTCCTGGCCTTAAGCCAGTCTTCCTCAGCCTCCCGAAGTGCTAGGATTACAAGCTGAGCTACCTTGCCCGGCGCTGGGTCAACATTTTCATTCCCATACCTAGGAAGTCTGGCTTTACGAAATGCCTGATCCCAGGACTCAAAGCATGAGTTACACTGTTGTTTTCACCTGTGTTCCCCTTTGTTTCTCTTGATCTTACTTTGGGCTCCCTCCCCAGGTGACAGCCCACGTCATTCGTGGCCATCTCCCTGTGACCTGTGTAGCTAATCTCCTGGAGAAAATCCCTATTTCTTTCCCTGCTGTTCCAGCCAACTCCCGAGTCCCATCCCTCCTCTGAGTTGTTACTGAGGGCAGAGGTTGAGACTCCACCTGACTCCCGTACTAACCCTGCTCCCAGCAGGAAGAATGTAAACTAAGAATGGGTCAGGGGCTTCCTTCAGTCACTCCAAACAGTCTACAGTCTCATGCTCCCACTACCATGGGCTCTTTGTGACACTTTGGGAACCAGGTGAGAGGATTCCAGCCTACTTCACTAGCATTTTAGAGAAGCGGAAGTTTACACACGCAAAAATGCACAAGTCCAGCTCATCGCCAAGACTGCGAAAATGCCCTCTGTTCATCTACTGCTCTGGGAAAAAACATCCCAAACATAGTGGATCGAAACAGCACGATCAGGGCTTCACTCACACACACACTGTCTCCTTCCACGGGCATCAGAGGAGAGGTTCTGCTGGGATCTGAAGACCTCAGGACAGAGCCCCTCACCCACAGGTGGCAGGCAGGGCTGGCTCAGCCAGGAGCTCTCACAGGGCTGAGGGATGAGACCTCAAGGTGTGCTGGGGCCATGCCGGCTCATGAGAGACGAGGTTTGCGTGACACTCTTTAAACTATTCATAGCTAGGA